AGTAAAATGTAAAGAGGAGGAAGGAGAGGGATCACCTTTGAAGTTTACAAAAAAAGCATGACTTTGACCACTTCCTTTTTAAATTAGCTGTCTCAGGTACACTGAGGTATTGGCCACCAGCTTGAATGTAAAAAAACAAAACAAAAAAAGGGTGGGTGGGGAATTGCTTGGAACTAGTCAATGTACTGTAGTTAAAATGTGAAGAGTGAGTGAGTGTGTGTGTGTGTGTGTGTGTATGTGTGTGTGTGTATATGTGTGTGTGTGTATGTATATATATATATATATATATATATATATATATATATATATATATATAATTTTATTTTTAAAACCTTTTTAAAAATTTTTCAACTTTGAGTATTAAAGGAAAGAATGTATTCCATTTGGGAATCTCGGAGCTGAAAATGGTGTGTGCCTGTCAAGTGTGAAAAGCTACATTAATGCAGCGTTAAAGCTGAAATTTGAATCACATGCAAGCCAGGAAATTCATAGTTACGGTTCCCACAGCAACAATAACTCAGCCCCCTTGTGCATATGCAGAATTCTGGATTACTTTATATGGTGTTAACTTACAGCAAATTCTAATCTTAGTCACATGAGTGAATTTCCCGGGTAGCTCCAGTGGCTATTCTAGATTAGCACTAGTTTAACTGAGAGCATACTTTGGTGATACCATGGGAAAATTACAGTTGCTGTGGCAACTACAATTTTGAATTTATTCAAATCTGAGCCTTTGGAGTGTGTGTGGTTTTGTTTTGTCTTGTTTTTATTTTGCATTTAATTATGATTAACAGAAGGATAAAGAAAAAATTTAAAAACCTGTGTTCGACTGGTTGTATATTTAGAGGCTAAAGTCTAATTTTGATTACAACAGTGTAAATTGGAATAACGACATTGATGTCAATGGTCTGTCTTAAAATCTGATCTTTTATGTGTAGGAGTGTGTTTGTTTCAAATGTGAGCTCTCAGATTGAGGGGACTCTCAAACATATTGAGTGTGTTTATTTTAACTGTATTGAACTCTATCAAACATTGATTTGAAATGATCCATGTTCTTATTTGAATACGTACTTGTTAAAATAATCATCCATTTATTTTCAGGGTGGGGAACTCAAAATATCTGCTTATTCATCTTGTATATGCAACAAGGGTGCCACATCATGGCACATCTTAAAAGATAAGGGACATGCACAATATATTTTCAGATGACTTTGTTTTGATAAATCTGGCAAAGGCATTCATCTTCATGGTGTATTCCAAACTGGAGGTTTGACGTTTCTAAAAAAGAGAAACTGATTTGAGGTGAGAGCCGCCCAAGAAAGCATCTAATGCCCTAACTAGTGATTTTTTTAAAAATAAATAAATACATAAAATATCATGGTCTAATATTTCAGAAATCCCTGAATGAGTTCTTAATCCAGTTTAGAAAAAAAATCACTGCTGGAGTGAAAACAAGCATGAGAAAGTTCCACCAAAAGAGGGTCCAATTCAGTTCCCATTTAAGTTAATGGAAAGAAAACATAATGACGTCAATGGGAGTTGAATCAAGGCCAGAGTAATTTAGTTGGGAAGTTACAGTACTTGAAAATAGACCCTTAAAGTAGAACAACTAGTGTCTTGATGTGTGATTTATACCGATAAATATATTGTTTTGTATTCAAGAGTCTGATCCTACACTAGTCATTCAGGTAAAACTTCACTGAAGCCAAAGGATATTTTGCCTGATTAAGGACTGCAGGATTAGACCCATAACTATCTTAAGTATTTAAAAGAATGTTATGTCTATTCTTTCTTTATGTAGATACTCAACAGATGAGAACAACTCATCTTTCAACAGTTATGGTTAAGAATAAACCAACTCTGCTTTTTATTTTTTAACTGCAACAATGGAACTTGTTTCTGCCCTATGTGGTTTGTTTGTTTGTTTTAAGTTTTATCAGACTTTAGTGTAAGGCCATTGAAGTCAGTGTAACTATTCCAGATTTTCACCAGTATAAACTGGAGCAGAATTTGGCTCAGTGGGTTCCCATATGAAAGACAAGTGCAGGAGACAAACTTTTAAAAAAGGTAAAAGGACAGCTTGAAAGGAAAAGAAAAAAATATATATAGTTCAACAATAATTTACTTAATTAGTACATATAGCATCATTTTTAGTTTAAATGTTTCACATGTGAAGTTCAGAAACAGGAAAAAAGGAGTATTTTAACACATATTTATAATCTCTGGTTAAACTTCATTTATTTATCAAATGAAGGACATTATCTATATTGTCTATTACACTAATTCATATACATATTTTTTCTTTATCTGTCAGCCATTCAATGGTTTATTAACTCAGACTCCTCCAAGGAAGTACCATAAGTCCATTTGATGCTCCTTATTGTTGTATTTTTCCCCTGCTTTGGACCTTTGATTTAACTGAAAGGTGTACAAACACCTTGTGGCCAAACAGCTCCCTGAGAAAAGATATAGGAATGTTGATTTTGTTCCTTAAAAAATCAAGTACTGCAAACAAATTCATAATATTTTATCATCATAGTCCTATCAGGAACCAATTTTTACTAGATACTTGGTGGGTAAAAACTCCCCCAGCATTCCTAAATTCATGGCCTTCAGGATCTGTGAATCTGTACATGTGTCAACGGGTTTCTTTTCCCCAGCCAATGGCTGGCAAAAATTGGATCCTGATAGGACTATGATAAAATAATATGAAATCATGTGTAGTGCTAAAACCTTTCATTTAGGGCTGCATCTCTCTCTCTCTCTTTCTCTCTCTGGAAATCTGGCATAATTGATGAGGAAGCTGACAGAATATCAGTGAGTTGACAGTTTGGCACAAAGACTTCTGGGAGCTCTTCAAATGAAAAACATTGCAAGACCTGCAAATTTTGTGGATGGGGGAAGGCCCTGAACAAATAACATTAACTTTAAAATTCCTGGGCTTGTTGTGTTGTTAGAACAATGTATTACATTTCTTAGATCAGGTAGTGAGAAATATAAGGTAGCATATTTTACTAAGAAGCTATATTTTTCTCATAATGGTTTTAGGTGCATTACATATAATATAACATGATGTCTTAGCCTGATGACATGTCAAGACGTAAGGGCCTGGTTGCAGTCTCACAGCACTGTAAGTCAGGAGTAACTCTGTTGAAGTCTGCAGAGCTACAGTAATGTAAGAGGAGAATCAGGCCCTAAGACTCTAGAAAAGATGCAATATAAGGGTGAAAAACAGGTTAAAAAGAAAAAGTAACAAGATCTATTTTCTGTAATCTCATTTTCTAATAAGTGGCAGTATCCTTAGTAAATAAAATAGCTGTTGAGAGGGAAATACAAGGAAATGCTTCTCTTGAGGCTGGTCTCTAGAGTCCTTAGGATCAAGGTGAGTTGAGGTCACCAGAACACAGGATTTCCACAGTGTATTGTTTTCTATTTCGATATGGATTGGAGATTGAATGACTGCTATGTTGCTCTTTCACTTTTCTCCACCAGCTGGCTACCTTTGCCTTGTATTGAAGAAAAGGAGTGAGTGTGTGTGTGTGTGTGTCTCTCTCTCTCTCTCTCTGCCACTGTTGTAATAGCTGCAGCGGACATTGCTGATGAAGTCACAGTTCATTGTTCTGATGTCAGGAAGAGAACAGTGATGTCTGAATCTGGGATATGCCTTAGTATAATGTGAGCTAGAATACATTTATTATTCTCTGGTGTATTTACGTCTGCAGCCCTAGCAGCATGGGATCTCTGGATCTCATAAGCTAAGCACTGTTGTATTTGCATAGGAGACTTCCAGAGAATGTCCAGGCCCCCTAGGAAATTATGTTGATGACATAGGTGGCATTTTGCCTTTGCATCATTACTGAACCATGTCGTAGCTGGCTGGTAGGTGCTGCTGTCTTGTTTAGGAATGCGGCCCTTTCAAAGAGCCATAATACAGGGGTTTTTCCCTTTATTAATATTTCTTTATGGATTTGCTATTTAAATTGGCAACTGAATAGTAAGACATTAATATTTCTGCACTGCTTTGGAAACAAAGTGCTAAATTATAGTAGTAGCATGTTTGTAAGTGGATAAAAATAAATGTATTTTATCAGGAAATCTAATAAACACACTAATAAATGTAGCTTCTGGTACCCAGGAGATGTGTGTTATTTTCCTCCTTTTAAAGGAGGGGAAACTGAAGCTTAGAGAGGTCAAGGGACGTGCCCAGGGCCACACACTGAATCAGTGGTAGAGCCAGGAATAGAATCCCACTTTCCTGCCATCAAGTCATGGTTTAACCACTGTCAAGAAGGTTACAAATTCCGTTAGACTGAAAAATTAATACCAATTCTCTTCTTGTTTTTTTCCCTTATGTTAATAATGTTCTATCTGCTCCCAGTGGGCCAAATTCTTCTGTTACTTACACCCATTCCCCTTATTTATGTGCATGGGGCTGCATGGCTATTCACAAAGGCACAAGTTGGCCTAATTATTTTGTTCTATATAATTTCAATTAAAATAGGACTGGTTAGAGGCTTCTGTACATGAGGTCAGATTCTGATCTATGTTTCACCAGTGAAGTCAATGGAGTTACTCCGCCTGTGTACATAGGTGGAATCAGGATATTTGCCCTGAAGCTGGATATTTCAAATCCCCAGCCTCTCTCGTAACTGCTTTGCTCAGATATGTTGGCTCACACCACTTGAGCATGCTAACAGTTGTTTCAGAAATGCAGTCACAGCAGTAGACAATGCTTATTTAAAATCTTAGCTGTCCATTTTCTTCAGCTGAATGAGAGCTGAACAAGGCAGCTGAGTTGGATATTCTATCCAACTTTTGGATCACATGACTGTGGCTTTTCTGCCGCTACTTTAAATTACTGTCAGCTTCTGAACTTCTCGAGGCAGAAGCTTGAGGTCTTGTTGGTGTAAGATGAGTGAAGCTATGGGCCACATTTGGTGGGCCCCACTTTGGTTATCTCTGTTTCATGCTAAATCTGAGAGTTGCATTATTTCCCACAGCTGCTGCTTTCTTGGCTTTCTGAATTGCAGAAAAGGCCTGAAGAGCAATCCAGAACTCAGGAGGTGGTGAGTTTCCTTCAGCAAATCTTCACAACATCTCTGCATCACCCACCCTCCCCACCAAAAAAAAGAAAGAAAGAAAAAAGTTTATTTGAGCTCTTGTAATTATTCTGTCTGGGAGAGGAGCCAAGGTGTCGAAGTATCAAAGTGAAATTCAGAAGAGTCAAGAGCAAGCAGAGACTTGAAGGGGAAGAAAGGGAAGTAGAAAAAACACTTGTCTTTATCATGGTAATAGTAATGAAGCTGAGCAGAAGAAGCCCAGACAATGGGCTAGGTTACTGTACTATAAACTGCTTCCTGCCACTGAAATTCACAAGTCACCTTTACTTGGCTGATTAGAGAACTACAAAGCCAGGCGAGCTGGTTTTGACTTTCTGTCAGAAACTCGCCAATACTTAACATTTCTGATATTCAGAGCTGCCCTGTAGACATAGTTTTTGTTCCTGAAAAATTAAATGTGGACTCAAAACAAATGAGCAGCTCTGTGGGGTTTATTGATTACAAATTATGAATTATGGGTTGGGCACGATATAACATTTTGGGCCTGACAATCCAAGGTGTTAAGCACCCTTAATATTTTGATTGACTCTGGTGGGAGTTGAGGCCATTCATACTAGTCCTTCAATGTCAGTTAAATATGGGGTGTATCCCAAAGATTTATCTTGCTGCCCCTCTCCAAAGTCTGTAGGCTGGCTGGCCCTGGGCATAGTGGGGTGCCAAAAGTGGATGGGATTCTGTCATACTTGGGAGGTAGTCAGTGAAAAATTATTTCACAAGCCAGCCTCCTCCCCCGCTACCCTACCTCCAAAATGACAAGGTCAACTCTGTAGCTTCTTCTAACTTTCTTTTAAATCCAGTGTCTCTGTCCATGCAGTTCACTTCAGGATATCCAGCCCGTCAGGGACACAATTAGGCTTTCTAATCAATTAGCTTAATCCTGCTGTAAACTTGCCTATTTGCCATTCATGTCAATGAAACCTTGGTTACAGTGACTCTCTCACCACAAAAGCTTTTTTTAAAAACACAAAAACACCTATCTGTCCATCTGTATCCGTCTACATGGCTTAAAAGGCAAAACTATGAGACAAGGAAAGGAAATGTCAGGGACAAAGAAGCACCCTTTTTGTTAAAATAATGTAGTCAGCAAAATGTGGAAGGATTTTTTTGGTGACTGTTTTTTTTACCATAATAATTTTCCTTCGGGGTGGAGGAATTAGTATTTTTTAAATTATTTCAGTAGATGGATATTGATGTATTTGCTCTCTACTGTATAACTTTTATGCATGAGTAGTCCCATTGAAATCAATGTAAAGTAACACACGTTGTCATTGCAGAATATGGACCTTTATAAATGATTATTTAAATTGCACCATAAATGTACATAATGCTTTACAGAACAAGTAAAGAGAGAGTCCCTGCCACAAGGAACTTAGAATCAACAGCTAGATGAATGTATGGTTCCACTGTGGTGGTGGGCATAGCATAGCATAGCAGAGAGAGAGAGAGATTATGAATAATAAAAGGCTCTGACCCTCCAATGAGCTCCACATAGGCAGATTATTGAAGCACAGGCATCTGTCCATGCAGAGCTCATTAGAGGATTGAGAACATAGTATATTAAGTCAATTTTTCTTAAATAAAATTTAAAACACATACACTAGCCTTTTGGTATTTACAACTTATCCCTGTAGATAAGTTGTATATAACTTCATTTGCTGTTTTGAGCATATATTCGAAATAACTTTGTCCATTTTTTTTTTAACATACAAGGGCTATGCAACGATGGGGTACAGTACAAGTAATGAGAACACTTTTTAAAATATACTTAAGCAGTCCATTGAGTGTATAGACTGGGACAAGTTCTGCTCTTCATTTCATTCATATAAGCCTATTGATTTTATTAGGGTTGCAGAGAGGGTAGAATGTGGAAGGCACTGTATAGTGGGCCACTTAGTTCAGTCATTGATTAAAAACTGATCCTGCCTGTAGGGTCTGATGGAAAGCCCATTGTAGAGAGTAGAAGGATCTCGGTTCACTTTATGGGCTTTGGACTGGGCGCTTAAGTAGCTCAAAGCTCCAGAAACCAAACAATTTGTATTAAAAATAAAACTACTTCTCTATTTTATTTTATTTATGGAAGTGTTATCAGCTAACTCAATCCCTGGGTGTTGAGAATTGTTCAGTTTACAAAGAAGGCCAAACTTATGAATAAATTAGAAGAATGAGCCAAAGGAGATCCATGTAATGATAAAATATGATTACAGCTAAAAATTGTTATTCAGATGTAGTTATTAATGTAGAAAGCATTTGTATGCTATACAAACTGGGAGAAGCGTACTAGTGGGGGGACTTGTGAGTAACCAGACCAGCCACAAAGTGATAGGAATGGACTTACTCAAAATAAAAGGAAGGCACTGCCTATTAGGATAAGCCGTTTCAGTGCACTAGACAGCTAGAAGTTTAGGGAAAGCTAAATGCAGCTGGAAGTGTGTTGCAAGTGACTGTGAATGTTAAAAGTATTGGTTTTAAAAATGTATGTTATATGAAAACTTACGTTTCCTTTGATAAAAATTAAACTAAATTAAAAATTAAACTTTACTGGGCTCATCCTGATCTGACATACGAGGTGTAAATTGACTTCTGTATTGTTATTTTGGGGTTATGTCATTGTAATAAATTAGATTGTTTCAGTATTGGTAATAGGACCTACTGAGTGCAAAGCTCAAAACTTTTTCAAATGAATCAAGTGCACAGATATTTCAGGAGGTAAGAGTTAGTACAGAAACCTAAAAGTAATCATTGTCTTTCATTCTTCCTGAATTTAAAAGTTGCTTTGAGTTTTCAACCTTCTGCTCTGTAAACTCGTACTTTGTATAAGTTGTTAAATACTATTTTTTTTATTTACAGAGCAAACCTTGCAAAAGGACTAGGAAGCATTTCCACCATGAACGACATCTGATTTACTTGCATCATATGTATCATCTCGCCCTTCTTAATATGACATCTTCCAAGAGGTCAGTTAATGTCATGAACAAACTGTATGAGGATGTTTGTGTAAGTTAAGTCGGAACATTTTCATGTGCTGTATTTTTCTGTTCTTAACACACAGCTGTGTTAGCTGATATAGTTCATAAGTCACTTAATGGTCTACATGTGAGGTTTGAATACCAAGTCTCCTTGGAGTCATTCGTACAAATCCTAGGAGGGTTGGCTGAGCCCTTCATCTTTCCAAGGCAGATAAACTAAGGATGGGATTCCAAGGGAGACTTAACTGCCATTTTAGCCGCATAAGTCCCACACATCTAGATGCCACTGAGACCCTCAAAACCAGCTGCTGTCTAACCCTATAGTTGCCTAAAGTCCCTTCATGCCTAAGCTTCTACTGTTCAATTCCCTGGATGTAAAGAGGGTAATTTGCCTTTTCCTGAAAAAGACCAAGCCCTTTAGAAAGTCTCATCGATTATTTGTAGCATATCAGGAGAGATGCCAGGGAGAACCCATTACCAAACAGAGATGCTTATTCTGGAGTGGAAAATGTATAGAACATTGCTATGTTTTAGCTAGGAAAGCAGTACTTCCTGGTTTAAAGACTTGTTCTATGAGTGCCACCTGTCAGTGGGGTTGGCTTACGTAGGTTCCCCTAGCGGAGATCCGCAAAGCAGCAACTTGGAGTTTAGTGCACACCTTCACCACATACTACTGTTGTATTAATATAAATGGGCCCAAAGAGTTAAAGGTGTTAACGACCCAGTCACTGTCCAATATTAAACCATTTTAAATAAGGTTTGGTTTACAGAGTCCTTAGCCTCCTTGATACCATGGCAAACACATTATTTTTTTTTAACCTTTGATTAAAGATAGAGAAAAAGAAGGAAAAACAGTTAAAGCATTTGAAATGTAAAGTATTAAGTAAGGCTTTTAACAACATCACTTCCTTTCCCCTTTAGCTGGAGAGGTTCTTTAGAAGAAAAACCCCTTTAGTCTAACTGTCTTTTAGAAGATACCAAAGATGGTAAAAACTTTCCTTTTGCAGAGAAGAGAAGAAGTTAGTTGCGATGGGCTGGAGCTGTCATTGTTGCTGCTGCTGTTAAAGTCCAGTCCCGTTTCCAAAAGAGGAAAGAAAAGAACAGCAAAGATAGAAAATGCAGCTTTTGTCTCTGATGTCGACTCTCATTTGTAACCTCACTGCTGGAAAAACACAGGCACAGCACATAGTCTTATTAGCCATTCTGGGTATGTCTACACTGTACTTAGACACCGGTGGCTGGCCCATGTCAGCTGTTTCAGGCTCGCGGGGTTTGGGCTAAGGGGCTATTTAATTGCAGTGTAGACATTTGGGCCCGAGCTCTAGGACCCCCTCACCCCACCTTGCAGGGTCCTAGAGCCCAGGTTCCAGCCTGACCCCAAATGTCTACACAGCCATTAAACAGTCCCTTAGTCCGAGCTCCGCAAGCCCAAGTCAGCTGGCATGGGCCAGCCGCAGATTTTTAATTGTAGTGTAGATATACCCTCGGAGACCTGACAAACTTGTACCAGCATATGACTGTTTAGGGCATTGTATTTAACTGCCTCTTTCTAGTCACAGACTCACAGCAGCATTGCAATATATGAAGTCTTGGCCCGCTAAGCCAGACTTTTATTAGATAAAAGGAGAGGGATAGGAAAGAAAAGAAGTAAGGTGGGGAAGGAAAAGGACACACTAGGGATGGGTGGGGTGGAGAATAAAGTCTCCCATCCCAGGTGGTATTCGGGATTCAGACGTAGCCAGTACAGCTGGAGATGTCATCTGGATCCCTCTCTCTTGGCCTGGTCTGGTCAGGACATCTCAGGATTAGGATGAAGAAGGTCCAGGGTCCCAGGAGATGGCAAGGGTGACTATGATGGAGCTCATTTCTTCCCCTTTTTCCAGCCAGCCAGCGTTCTAGAAGCCTCTGCTAATTTTCAGCCCACAGTCTCTTTTTTAGGACCCCAAAAAGGTAGTGATGGGTGGAATAGTCCATTCCTTCATTATTTTATTCACTCACTAGGCGTACTTTCCAACGCACCAATTTTGGTTCATTAATTTCTGGTCTTACACTTACCAGGCATAATTTTAATACAGTCCTTGAGTTTTATATCAGTTGTCCTTTGTGTTTGGACTATTTCAGTCTCTTGCTTTTGCACATTTTCCCATCAACATTTGTTGTTATAGCTTCTTGTGACAGCTAATAAACTTTCTTACAGTATTTACAGTTAAGAACACGTTTACTGTAATTGTGCAGGCCCAGTTATTACAACACTACTCCCTGGATTTAGCATCGCGTGTCAATGACCAGTTTGGGAGAGCAATGCTACAGTTCATATTTGTCTAAGAACTCCTAATCCACAGTCCACCTGGTGGGGCACTACTTGCTAATCTCCCATAAGTGGGAATGCACAAGAAAGAAAAGATACTTACCAGCAAACTGTTGTTCTTCAAGAGTCACGTCTGTGCATTCACACTACCCATCTGCCTTCCCCTCTGCCCAGAGCTCTATATAACATGAGGACTCTGTAGTTAGGGAGAAGGATCTGAGGTGGTTGCAGTCCTTCATTCAAAGTAGGGCAATGATGTCATCTTCTCACAAGATCTTGTGTGTGCCCTCCCAGCAGACACAGGTTTTCAAGGTGGTTCCACAGCTCAATGTCAGATGCCGTATCTGTAAGTGGGAATGGACAGAGGTGACTCTCAAAGAACACCATTTAGGAGTTATTAGAGCTTGGCAAAAAAATTTTTAGAGAATGATAAATATGCCAAAAAATGTAGTTTCGGTGTGACCAAATCTATCTGCTAATTCGGGTCATATTCAGTAAGTGGTTAGAGCTGAATAAAAAGAAGGGAATTTTTTTTAATAAAGTCAAAATGGTTCACTTCAAAATGATGTTTCATTTCAAGTTAAATCTATCTGAATCTATTTTTTCCAGTTTTTCATTTTGGTGAGAAAAAACAATTCAGTTTTGATTTGAAATTAACCAAAGCGGGTTTCCCTCCCTCCCCCGCCATCCCTCAGCATGGCCACCAGTCTGAAAAATTAAATATTTGCTCAGCTCTAGTTATGATGACATCTGCTGTGTATTCAAAGAGTGATGATCCTGACTGCTTTCTTCTAAATTTGCTTTTCTCTGTTTGGTGCTACCTGGAACAGACTGCTGGAGAAAAATGGCCAGTTCGCAGTTGCTGAAAAAGAGCACAGTGTCCATGATCTGGTTAGTAGTCAAATGGTCATTGCTATCATCTATTCCTTCTGCTTTTTAATGAATAGTTCACCAAGGCAAAGTAACAGCTAAAGCACTTTTCTTGATTGTTGCTACAAATGCTACAAGCCTAGAATATGTTTTTATTTTAAAGTTTTACAGTATTCTTCACAGTCCAGACTGCATATCAGATAGATCAGTGGTAGGTATGTGGATTTGTGCACTGGCCTTTCACCTTACAAAACCACCACACAATTTGTTACAATTGATAGTCTCTGTAGAGGCCCAGGATTGCAATATAAGGTTCAGGCCAGAGGGTCGTTGATAGAACTTTGTACGGAAGTTTGCACAATTCCTATGTGTATTATCCTGAATCAGTCCAGCCCTATTAGCTTCCTACTTACATAACAGCTAAAATAATCTTAGAACTAAACCCCAGGTGAAATCTTGACTTCATTAAAGTCAATGGCAAAATTCCCATCAACTTTAGTGGGGCCACAATTTTTCTCCTCCCCTGTTTTCAATCTCCTTCTGCAGTATTACATGTTAGCTAAAAGCAGGGGAGTGGAGTAAGGCATTATCAGGGGACTTGGTTATACCTAGGCTTGGCAGAATTTGATTTTTATTTGTTTATAATTTTGACAGATATCAATATTTATTTTTAAGCCTTTTTAGATTTTTATTGTTTTTAAGTTTTCACAGTTGCAGGAAATTACACAGGGGCCAGACAATGAGGGCGGTCAGACAGTGGTTATTTAATGACACTAGACATTGAGATTCAAAAAGTTAAAGCTTTTATGACTAGTAAAACACAAATTGTCAACATCACATGTCAAAATATACAGAGTAAATATTCTTAAATCAAACTCATAAGTTTTCAAGCAAAATTTTTCTTACTTTGCCCATCTGTAGATTTTGATTATTATTGATGGAAATATTTTTTCTTGTGTTTGGGACTGTGTATGGTAAAAATGATGTTTACTGACGTTTACTGATAAAAATCTCATCCTTCCAAGTTTAGTTATACAACTTTAAAAAGGTGTAGTGCAAACATGACCTGTGTCCCCACCATGTAAGTGGGACCTAACATAAGAGAATGTGAGCAGTGATGTAGAAAAATATAAATGTAAAATATAAATTGTAAAATAAAGATTGTATGACTTCCCCTAGGCATATATTCTTTTAGAAGCATACTTTCCACACACAACAGATTAAAAAACCATGTTGTTGCACACAATTGTGTGTAAGAGATGGTTTTCACTAAAACATTTTCTGGGGCTTTTGGTCATTACTTGCATAGATTACTCTACTGTTAATGCTGTTTTCTTAAGTGTTTAAAAAGAGAAGTAGGACCAATCTTTCTAGACCTGGATGTTTTAGCATTAGGTTCCTAAATCCATATTTACGCCCTGATACTGCAAATATGCATCAGTGTTTGCAGGATCAGGGTCTTAAATCGCTAAATAAGTGACCTGTTTTTCAGTGGAGCTGTGGGTGCTGAGCACCCTTGAAAATCATGTCACTTGTTTAATTGCCTAAATATGGGTTTTAGGTTCTAACTCTAAACACCGCAATCTTAACATTTTGGGCTTGATTATATCACCTTTTTGTGTGTGAAAACTCTCTTAACATCTCCTTCCTACACTTGCCAATTTGTATTAAGATCTTGAGTCAACAGTGAAGCCCACTTACAGTGAAATTGGATTTTTGTTTTTGATTTTTTTTAATAGAAAACCTTTACTCTTAGCAGAGGCTCAGTGTAGCGGGAATTGCAGTTTGCACATTGCATGGCACAGAAACTGTTAGGAACTTGCATTCTACTTCACTATAACTGGAGTTTGTCTGTATTTTAGTTCAGCATAAGCCGTTTCCTCTGCCTGTCTGTCTAAAATTACAAGTGGTAATATAATGAGAAAAGTTATTTACTAATAAATAATTTAGCAATTAATGGGGAAAATGTATAGAATAAATCATATACAAATTATTATTCAGTTATCTATAGAGCTGTTCAAATAATAAAATGTGTAAGTGAATAATCTATTTCAATACATATGTTAGAATTCATTGGATGAATCAGTCAGGACATGCAGGTGACTGAGGACAGACATTGGGATGGATTTTAAGCAGCAGCCACAACTTTACTAAACCTAGCACCCCTCCCCAGTGTTACTGCCCTGTCTTCCTGTGCCAGGCTTAGAAGAGGATCCAATGTGGGGTTTACAGTGCTCCTATCATGTAGCCCATATCACAGACTAGATTCTGCACTGCCTACCCATAGGATTCAGCCTGCTCTGCTGAATCCTTTCACTCTCCTCCCTGTGAAGAGGATACAAGTATCAAAGAGGGACCTGGCTGTGTGAAGACTTCAGGTCTCCCTTTTCCCCATAGGCCTGAAGTCCATCAGTGAAATTCGGGGTCTCTTATTTCTGGATACTGGCCCTTTTGGCCTTTTATCTGCACTGGACACCAGCTACAAGTTGCAATGGACTAAGTAGTCATACAATTCCTAATGTTAAGTCCTATTCCTATTTAACCTAACTGTGTCTCTGTGAGGCTATGAGGAAGGCAAAAAAACCTCACACGCTCACCTACAATTTGGCCCTGATGGGAAAAATTCCTTCCTGACCCAGGTGATTGGTCAGCCATGACATCCTAAAAACACCGGTCCTATATAACTGTGGAGAGGGAGGGTGAGTTCAGCAAAAATGGGGCACCAGGCGCAAGAAACCCTAGACATGGGTTTAAATTAGTGATTGTGGGGCGCAAGGAGATAATTGGCTCCTGTCTCCTAGCTGGCCAGTGGGCATCGGAGCAGCCAGAGGGAGGAGGGGTCTACCTTCTAAAGATGTCTGGTTCCACAAGGGCTAATCAAAACTCTCCCACCCATGAAACTGGTTTGGTGGTCTTATTGCTATGAATAATTCAAACAGTAACATTGTAGTTGTGTGTTCTGGCTAAAATAATGCAAAAGCTCTTCAAGGCAGAGAAACATATTTTTTTTCCCTCTGGGTCTAGTCCTGGTTCCATTGAAGTAAAAAGTAAAATTCCCATTGACTCAATGGACTCAGCAGTAGCCCCTATATTTGTAAAATGCCATAAAAAGGAGGCACTAGATTTTTTTTCTAATAATAAAAGCTATAGAAATATCTGAAAATTTACGGGCGAATCTGAGGGACTAAGCCAATCTAATTCTGCTAAAAATAATCTCTTGAATTCCCATTTGATGTGTGACAGATTATTAGCATAAATAAGAAACATTATTTCAAATTAAAAGGAAATAAGGAACACATAAGTTTCTCTTCTGTTCTAAATGACTGGAGATGCCCATTTATTGAAAAATACCAAAAAGCAGCACAGTCCACGAAGGCTGTATCTGACACTGGATACAGTCTCTAGTATTACACTGATTTCAGGTATTTATGATGCTGGATTGAAAAAGAAATTTCATTAACTTTTCTTTCAAAGGTGTCTCTTGCATGGTTCACTGAGCTATATCATGGTCTGGATTTTATAGGCACTTCAACTGGATATCAGGTCTGAGTATGACCCTACTGGCATGATTCCAGCTGAAGTAGCAGTCACAGAAGAGCTGGGAGAGCTTCTCCTTTAGAGTCTAAAACTGGTATTGGTCTGAAGAGGATTATATAGTTCTAGTAACTAACAAATATGAATCACAAGTTTGAGGTTGAATTGAACATACTATGTTGCCAGGTGCCTTGTTTCCAGTATCATTTGGGTTGGTTTTTTTACAAGAACAGTTTGCAGTGTTCTGCTTTGAAAATGCAGGGCTGCTTTGTATAACCTACACTTGTGCTTCTGTTATCCCAAGATGGAATACTTGTTTCCAAGTCATCATAAACAACCTGGAAATAGCTCCACTGAAAGAGGGATAGAGGAAAGCACATTTCCCATTTTGCTAGACAGGAAACAGCATGAGCTATGTCACAGGGGCTTCTCCAAAACACGCATCGTTTTTAAAGAAATGAAAAACAATTCAAAGGAGAAACAACATGAAAATAAAGGAGCTGTTGAAATGTGAGTATGCTCTGTCTAAATGATTTGCCTGAATCAATGCATTATGCCTATGCGCCTTAATTTAGACTGGAAATAGAAACTTGTTATATGATCTATAATAAGGGCCCCATTCCCTTCTTCCTTTTGTAAATTTGACTTGAAACATTGCAGCTCTTAAGAGCAATCACACATTAAAATACATGTAGGTGTGAGCTTTCAAATATCCTCACCGGTGAATATTCAGAGCATCACACCCTGGTGCTTGCTTCTGAAGTTAACATTAAACCTGCTGTGCAAACTCAGGATATGTTTTAAAATGTCCATAATTTTGATGTATTGAAACTAGATCTCTTCAAGCAAAGCACATACTCCTCATCCAGGACTATGTGCCATGCATGCCAAGTTGGAAATTTTTAAATCAAGCTGATTTCGAGTTTATCTGACTGTAGGAGTGCTTGCTAATATATTTCTTACCAGTCAACTATTCTCATGTGCAAATAAAATCCATGTTATCTATTCTGGAGTTAAAATGTACCCAAAAGTTAAGAGAGAGAGTGAGGGAAAAGATTGGATATTCTTTACCCAAAAGAAGAAAATGAAAAGCAAAAATAGGAATTTTAGAACAGAAAATCTATCTCAACCATAGTTATGATGTTGCTACCATAGCACTATAATAGGAATAAATACACTGCGGAATTATTTAGATTGGCTATTTCTAGTAAGCTTTTCTAAAGATGTTTTGAATGTGTCTTACAGTTTGGAGGATCAGAAATACAATAACAGCACCTTTGCCCCACATGAAATGATCACTGTGCCTCTTACCATGGAAGATGTGGTTCTGAACAATCCAGTTGTGGCATGTATTTTTATTTACTCTTTTGTCCCTCATCATGTCAGTGCTGTATAGCCTGAAGGAGCTGTCATACACTTTTACCCCATAGATTAAAAGTTCCTTGTAGTACTCAGAGAACAGAGCTATTATAGCATCAAATTCTACCCTCCAATACACACGGGGCTCCCCTTGAGATCAGTGGAAGCTGTGAACACAGAGTGAAGGACAGAAATTTGGCCAAGTGACCAACAAATACGTGCAGAAACTCTCACATTTGGGGGGATCCTTCTTTTCACTTAAACTGCTGTACAGGAGCATCATTCATCCACTGCTTTATCCCTTTGAAATGGTGGGAAGTCAGGCAGAGGGGAGGATTAAACTTGTAGCCACTTATGCTGACAAGCTCAGCATACCCTGCCACAACAAAGACCGTCTGGGTTTGGCAAATTTCCTGGGGTTCACCACCAGGAGAGCTTCTCCACCTTTAAGAGGTTCATTAGAGCATGACTCTTGCTACCAATCCTTTTGCTGGCCAGTAGCCTTCAGGGTGAGTGGGACTATATTGGGGCAATGAGGGGTGGGTTTATCAAGGCATCAGAAGGAAGATGTAGGGGTGAGCAAGGCAAGGCAGGACATATGGAGCATGAGGCAGGGAGTGGGCCTGCTGGGTAAGAGGGAGAAAAGATGTTAGGGAACATGGGGAGATTACAGCCATGTCAGGCAGAAAGCAGCAGGGGAGTACTACTAGCACTTCCCTACCCTCTCCATTGGATGGACCTGTTGCAGATTGCTGGAGAATTACGCCACTCTGAGCCAGAGAAGAGCTATAGATGTTCTCCTGGTGGAAAGCCTAAAAGGTTATTGGTTACTCTCTCACAAGCCAGCTAGCCAAGGCACCAGGCTGCAGCACCCAGATACTGATTCAGAGCAGTGGTGCCCCAGGTTGGGCTGTCTATTAAGGGGAGAGGACAGAAAAGTGTTAGTGCTCACCTAACCTTATACTTCTCCTGTATTTCCTCCTTCCCCTAATGTGGCTGTTTATCTCCCCAACATTCATGTTTCTCCATGTCTCCTCCACACTTCCGTCTCACCATACAAAACACTTTTTCATACATCTCCAGCTCTATAGCAGTGTGGAGAATGACATATGGTCAGTGTCCAGCAGTTTTCTTTGGCAAAACCATTTGGCTGTGACAAATTACTGCAATAACTTTAATATTTAACATTCCTGTAAATATGTCAGCATAAAGCTGAGTTGCTGTGTGAAATGAGAAACCTGAACTTTTTTTTAAGTTGGAGAACCACCACAGAAATGTGAGGAAAACAGTGAAAGAGTTTGAAGAGGGAATATTTTAATAAGTTCCATGTAAAGTTATTAATTCTTGTCCCAAAAAATTAAATGGAAAACTAAATTCTCCTGTGAAAAACTATCATGGCAAATTTGGAGACTAAAACCAATCTTTAAACTGTGAAAGAGGGATTGTTCATCTTGTTTTATGTGCAAATCGCAAGGCAATCCCCCACTACTATAGTCACATTGGGCCTAGTTTTTACAAAGGGAATCTCTCCTCCCCTGCGACTGACTTCAGTAGGAGTTGTGAGTAAAGACTGCAGGACTCTGACCTTAAATTTTACAAACATCTCTGCCAAACATTAGAATGAGAGGATGGGCTTCTATGGGCATTTTCCACTTTAAAGTGAATCCTACCGCTTTAGCTTTGACAATCTCCCATTTTAAAAAATCCCTTTGCTCATATATAGGCCACTAATATAGGTCTACTTGGGGGCATCAAAAGTAGAGCTGAGCAAAAATTCAGAATTTTTGTCCTGTGAGAAATTCCAATACTTTACCATTTTTATCCCAAACTGGGACAAAAAAATTGAAATATCAGTTCTTTTGCAAAATGGAAATTCCAAAGAAAAACAGTTTAGAAATGGCAAAACAGTTTCTCATTTTGGATTAAAATGAAACATTTCAACATTCCCAAACCAAAAATGTTTCATTTTGGTTAGTTGAACTGAACCCCCAAAAAAAGTTCATTTAGAGTCAGTTCAGTAAAGATTTCCATTTCCTTAGTGTGTTGCATTGCTTCATGGGAGTTGTAGTTTGGGAGTCTGATCTCCACATTCTCCCTGGCCAGACTAATAGATGTATGTAGTACAATGCCTCAGTACAGTTAAATGTATACATATATGATCTTAATTTTTTTTTTTTTTTAATTTTAGGAAGCTAAGTCAACAGTTACCTACTGGACTAATTATGTGGACAAAGAAGAATCCATTTTCTAAAGAGGAAAAGGATGACTAAAATACAAACTCACAACAGCAATAAAAGTGCAGCTTTATGTAGATCTTAATGCTGTATCCCACACATACTGTGATGTACCTATATTATGAAATCATTGTACTGAATGTAATTCAACTTTCTACAGGCCAAAATCTATATTGTAAGCTTTTAAGTATTCACTATAAAATTAAATGTGCTCAATTTCAGATGTTTGTTTTTTAATGGATACAACAAGCTTATTGTGTGTCATGCTATGGGAGACTTTGCACTTCACATACAAGTGGGCTCATCAGCCATTTTGTAAACCAAACACAGCACTGGCTCTTGTGGCAGAGGAGGACACTTAGCACTGTGAGGGGAGAGACCAACTCAGCAGAAGAGAGAGAGCAGACTTGGAAAAACACTGAGAAAGTGAAATAATGGTTCTCTACTGAAAGAGCACAAGCAACTCATAGGTGTCATAATCAGACTACTTGGAGGCAAAATAATTTGAGGCTGTCAGTTGATGAGTAGGTCCCCTCAGGCACTGCTTCCTTGACTGACAGTTCTGCTGCTTCCAATTACTGCAGTAAAGATCTACCCACCTGTGAAAGTTATCAGAGGAGAACAGGAGGGAAACATCCATCATGAGTGAGACATTAAAGGCAATGTTTTAAATTGATCAAAGTTTTACATACTTAAAACATATAAAGATGGTTCATCTGATTCTTTAGGAAATGTAATATCAGTGAAATTGGTTTTCCTACCCTTCTTACGGCTGTGATGCTTAGAACAAGTTTAGCTAATATATCCATCCCTCAACCAAACTGGCCAACTTTCATGCAATTTATGCATGGATGAATACGAATTACTTTTCATGGCTTTACAAGTTGGAAGAATGGGGTTGGTGCTGCATGTTATTGTATATGGATACAATCACCACTGCACACCTGATAAGTAAATATTCCTTCATAGTGCATTACCATCAGAGAGAATATCCTAAGGACAGAAGAAAACATGCTGAAGACAACTGCTAGGATCAGTAATCTCCATAGCTATCAAGCATTCCCACTGCTGTGTAAAAACTCCATTGCAAGTTTCAATTTGAAGAAGTGAGTACCTTGACAGCCAGAGTATTTTAATAAAACGGGTCATTTATGTAAACAAAAATGTAACCAGTATCTCTCAAGACAGGAGTTAGAAAATGAAGCATGTAATAAGACACTTTCAGAAATAGCAAAAATGAGGCTGCAGTGAGTCCACTACTTTAAGGTGTGTTCGTTGTTAAGCCACTTCAAGTCCAATATTAAAATCACACCTATCTTCTCTACCGTTGATGGGATGTTTTCAGCTCCAAGCTGTTGTCCATAGCTGATCACCAGGCCTGCAGTTCTAAAATATGTTCAATCCAGTTGAATCAGTGACAAACACTTCTGTGATGGTTTAGCAAGATTCCACTTCAAGATAATTAATTTGATTTCCAACGTGTGCTTTTTTAAAAAAAAAAATTCAAAATATAGTATAAGGAGTATGAAACAAGTTACTTTAAATCTCTTCTCTGTCCAGTGAAGAAAATCTGCCAGCCTTTATTCATGTCTAAAAAAGAGAAGGGTTTTTTTTATGGAAACAAAGTATATATTTTTATTTTCTTAGCCCTATATTTCAAATCACTAAGACACTAAGAGTCAGCATTTAGAATGCTGTTAATAAACCTACTATACATGCAAGTTTTCAAAACAGATTAGTAAAGAAACTAGTTCTAAAAGGAGTCACACTGCTAAAATGTAGAACAAAGGTTAGACTTTTTTAAAAAAACAATGCTCTATGTCTATGCTTAGCTACTAATAAGTGAACCATTAATTGTTAGGCCCAAGAGTTATACCACGAGGACTATTCATGTGTTGCCCTGTTTTGAGGTATCAGTCTGCATTAACATAGGGCATTGTAATGCAGATTATGCAGAAATGCTTAATACTTTGCTGCAGTATAGTGCAAGCAACCTAATAGAAAGAATTAGATGACTATAAAAGTGTCAGTAAGGATTACTATTACCTTTGTAATTTTATATACTTTTCTTAGAAAGAGGGGTTTAAGTTGTCACCTACACTTGAAACTTCACTTCCATTTTCCACAACAGAATCAGGTTCCCATAAGGAGAGTTTTTATTCAAGTCCACATAATTACATGTAACCCCTTTGGGGTTTAGAGAGCATGGCCCTTTAAATCTTCTTCCTGAGGGGGAGGGGGAGAGTAAGAAAAAAGGAGGGAAACTCTAGGGGGAGGCTGGAGCTCCAAGGAGAGGGAGAGGCAGCCTGCAGGCCCTGGAAAAGTGAAGCAGCAGAGAACCTGCCCGAGGCCTGAGACGGACAGGGCCGATCAGGGACGCTCCAGGACAGGAGCCAGGAGGAGCACTGTGCCAGGGAGGAATTGCAGAGGACAGGCCGGAGCTGGACCCAGTATCACTGCTGCCCAGAGCTGCATGGGGCTGAGAGTACTGAGGCTTCTGACTCTGCATTGGGAACAAGGAGGGAGGTTGCTAGATAGTTAAGTGGGGAGGTGGTCGCTCTGTGTGGCTTTGCAGAGAGCGGCAGAAGAGGGCACCAGAGGGGTTTGTTGGGGGAAAGTTCACTGGCGCCAAAGACGACCAGGAGCACCCAAGACTCACCACTGGACTGGAACTTTGCTCAGGACTCCTGAACTCTGTGTGCAGACACATTGCTCAGTGTCTGCCCTTCCAGACTGTGCTACCACTGGGCCTGTGGGGCCTTGGCTTGGATGCAGCCCTGTCTTACTACTCCCCCTATATTTCCCCTTGTTGTTTTTCTCCTCTCATCCCTCTGTAAATAAATATCTCCCTTGTTATATCCATGGTACTTTTCCTGTGGGTGTGTGTGTTTACTCTGGGGGGTTTGGAACAGGTGCCCCTGGGGTGGAAGAGACTTTCCCTGCTGCATTCCTGCGCGCGCCTTCTCTTGGCTCGAGCTGCCTGCAGAGCAGACTCCATCTTGGCCACGAGGGCACTAAAGTTACATACACATTAAAATAAAATGTAGACTTTGGTATTTAAATATTAATCCTTCCCCTCTAAACCTCTAGTACCACCCAAGAACTAAAGTAACAGATCAACAACTGTAAATGCACATTGCAAGTTGAATTTGCCACAAAACTAGAATTTCTAATTTTTAGGTCAATTTACTTTTTTTGTGAGAGCATTTAGAGTCCTAGCATTTGCAGAGAGAAAGAAAAACAGCAATAGTTGAGTGCAGCTAAAAGTATGCATAATTAAATGCACATTGTAAGGTTACAATTATTAACTAACACGAATAGCTTAGATTATTAAAACTGAAAATTTTCAAATTAATTGTTCTTGTCCAAGATGAATTAAGTGCAAAAAGTTAGTCCATTTTGTGATATGCAGTCAAGAGCCATATCTCTTCTGCATATATGAAGAAATATTACATTATCTATCAGTCCAGTTGCATTCTCCCCCTTGAGGGGGTGTTAACTAACTGAACGTGAATAATAGTTTACTTTAGCCTGAAAGCTATGCTTTTACTTGCTCTCTTCCATTCACTCCTGCCTTCTATTCTTCCTTCTTTGTTCTCTCTTCCACTGAGGCTCTTGCATCAAAGTTTTCCTCTCCATCTACTTACATCCAGTCCTAAAACTCATCTCTATTCCCCACTCCATCTCCATTATTCACTCTTTTGTTCTTCTCACCATTTCTAACCTCTTCCCCCCGCCCCCCATGCTCTTCTACTGCCCATTCTCACTGACCCTATTCCATTCCTCCTAGCCAACAGTTTCGGTCCCATAGCGCTACTTAGCTGTGCAGTCAGGAGCCAATCACACCTTTCTGCTGACTGGTGGAGCCAGGAGCAGTGGAAGTCCCATTGGCAGTGGACAACAAAAGGAAGGAATTGCCAAATGCTGCCGGAAAGCACTATTGTGTAACACAGCAACATTTCCATTCAGAAGGAGACAGGTGGACCACAAGAAATGCGCTCCGGGATCACAAAGCTCACAAACCGCAAGGAAAGCATTGGCACAGTGTTTAGGTTGTATGCATACATTTAAACATTCATGTCAAACAAAAACTGTTTACTGACAGAAGTCACAAGCACGTTTCTATTAAAATTAGGTTTTGTAAAACCTGTTTTTTTTAAAAGTGAACAAAAGATAGCGGGGGTATAAATTCCCTAGCAGCTCTTTTGAAAGGTGTTTACACCTGGAAGTAGAGACAGAGCATGATTTCAAATTGTTTCACAAAGGGTACATCTACACTGCAATAAAAGACCTGCAGCACAAAGCCTAGATCAGTTGACTCAAGAGACTCAGGCTGCAGGGCTAAAAGCACTGTAGACATTTGGGCTTCGGCTGGACCCTGAGCCTGAGCCCTCCCCGGATCTCAGAAGCCAGATGTCAGCCTGAGCCTGAATGTCTACACTGCTCCTTTTAGCCCCACAGCCTGACATCCCGACCCCGAGCTTAAGTCAAGTGACTGTGGCTCTGAGACTTGGTGCCACAAGTTTTTAATTACAGCATAGACATACCCAAAGCTTTTAAAGAAATTCCTAGTTTTTAGAAAAGTAGTCCCCTCTATGCAGATTTAAAAAAAAAAATCTCAGTAGCATAATACTAACCTGTTAGTGTGTTGTTGTTCTGGACAAGAGAATTTATCGTCTGTTTAAAAAAGAAAGCACAAATAACAATCATGTCATCAGTTCCCAAGTTTTGGAAAGTTAAGCTAAATATCCCAACAAACATTCATGACACTGCTAGGTAATCATGCCTACCCACCCTATAATAGGATAGAGGAGTCTCTTTTCAAAACAACCTTTCAGACAAGAAAAACAAATCAGTTAGTTAAGGTAAGACAAGACAGAGGCTTGGCTTTAATGCATAATCAAACCTTTTCCTAAGAAAGGCATTTTGTTTTTGAGAAAGAGACATCCTTTCTTTTCTAGTAGGTTCTTCAAGCAGTTCTAAAATTCAGTCCAAAATTTTTATATTACAAAACTAAATTAGCAAATATAAAAGCCTAATAATGTACTATCCTATAGATCAATTGGTTCCATCTCCAGAGAGTGCAGCGGAAACTAGAGATACCCCAGAAGGCATCATCCCTAGGTTACAGGGTCAGAATAGTCTGGTGTTGTATGAGAATTCTTGCATTATGACCTTATACGTTCCAGAGAATCTCTAGTGAACCCTGAACACCAGCAGACA